ACACAATCACGCCGTTTGATTGGCTAGAGCTTGCACTGGCATATGATTCGATTGGCTGACGCCTCCGTCGAGGCGGCAAAAGTAGAACATTGCTCTACTTTTGCAGCGAGCACCGCGAGAGAAGCTACGCTTTGCTCCCACAATGCAGTTCGGCGAATCGTGATGTCACCCCATTCAAAGTGAATGGGCAGAAGCGTTGAAGCGGCAACGCACGCCGCCGTGTGTAGGGGCCGTAAGTGTAAAAAAATGCAAACTTGTGATTTTTTTAATTCAAAGTGATAGTTCTAGTCCCAAATGACAGCCAAGTCATAATAGGCATTTCCTGTTGAAGCTTTTAAGTGCTTCAATAACTGTCTGTTATAAAAAATAAATAAAAGAGTATTCTGCGTGTTGAAAAAACTCTCCATAAATGCAATGTGCTGAAGCTGTTTTTTTTTAGATGGTGTACCATTTAAATTGTTTTTTTCAGAACATATGGGAGATAATCTGATGCAATTTCACAATACCCCCATTTGATTATAATGCCTCCTGGATGCCTCCTGGGGAGTAGATTCTTGAACAGCACATTATGTAAAGATTAAACATCTGGCCCGGAAAAGCTTGAGATCCCCCAGGAAGAGTTGGAGGGCCTGTTAGGAAACCCGATCAGAAACTGTTGCACGAATGACCCGATTCCTGCTTTTTAAAATGTATTTTGCCTTGTTGGTCAGCAGTCTTCCTGGATATTTATAATTTGTGAGCTGGTATATGCACAATCCTGCTACTTGTTGGAGCTCCAATTATTTATGTAGTAGCAGTGTTACTAATTAATGGGAACATCTCCAACATGAAACAAAAAAAACTACAATTTCTCAAATAAATAAGAGCTGTGTTTTAGCTGCAAGTACCAATAAACAAGTTTTTGTTTTATTCATTCTGACGTGGAGTATTTCCTTTCAGTGTTTTTCCTTACCTTGCCAGTAGCCTCCTCATCTGTAACCTTGTGAGCTTGTTCAGATGCCAGTTTGTCCCTGTGGGGGGGAAATGTTTTAGTTTATGAATGCTGTGTTTTTATTAGAGAGCAGGGATTTATCTTGATGACACTCAGAACTTACGAAGAGTCCTCTTGGCTCTGGGTGTACTGGGTGAACACCGTCGTATCCAGAGACGCATCAAGGTTGTTGTACATGGCAGGGATGTCGACCCTGTGAGCCAAAGAAAACATTAGATTTACACGAGACTGACAACATGGACGCCGTTGATTGACTCATGTAAACAAACAAGAGGACGAAACTGACCTTTTTGTCCTTTTCACCTCCTTCTGGTGCTCAGTCAGCACTCGCTCCTTGGTCTCAGGAGGAATGAAGACGAAGTCGATGGAGGCCTCTTCGTCCAAAACTCCTCTGCGGGGGGGCTTCAGGGAGCCAAAGTCAAGCTTTGTCTTTTGTAGAGAAAACAATGGAAACAGAGTTGTGCAATGGTTAGATAGTTAGAAAGAAAATTGAATATACTGTGTAGTCAATGTAAACTTGTCCTCACATTAGGGCTGTAGCCGAATATTCGTTCGTTGGCCAACTATTCGGATTTCAATTTCATTATTCGGATATTCGTTTAATATTTTTTTTCTTTTCTAAATGTATGCTATTAATAAAGGCGAATTGCCATATTCTTATACTATATTTATACTTTTGAATTGCACTGTTAAAATGCGGAAATATATACAATCTCAGCCTGTGCTTCTGACATCGCGTTCACTCACAGTCACGAACGCTAACGGCACGCTTCACCTCGCTTCACCCACAAAATGCCAAAGACTTCAGCTGTGTGGGACCATTTTAAATTGGACGACGGTAAGAAGAAGGCAGTGTGCCAAATATGCGATAAGAAACTGGCCTACCACGGTGGCACAACAACTCTGAAAAGTCACCTGGATGCTGTAAGTAGTAGCCTAGCTTAGCTTAGCTGTTGTCAAGTTGCCATGATGAAGCTGCTTTATCCGCCGTTTAAACAGTAACGTTACACATGATAAAAATGTGCACTTACCTTGCTTGGAAAATAGTTGCAAGCAAGCTACCGAATTGTTTTTTTATAGTAGTTTTTTTAATTGTATCCGAATATTGAAAATAATAGGAGTAATGTGGGAAAATCTGGGGCTAAGGCAATTATTGGCATACAGTTGAGTAGCTCAGCCTAATAATAACTTGTGTCCATAGGTGCATCCCAGCCATCAACATCCTCAACAATACAGCAGACCCTAATGTTTGCGAGTACTGAGACAATAAATAAATATAAATCGTAATAGTATGCTCTTTCTGCACTTCTGCTTAACAGCGTGTTGTCAGGTGTCTCGGATTCGGAGCGTGTTATGAAACCTTTTGAAAAAAAAATTATAAAAAAAAAATACAAATCTCTCCGCACTGAATATTTTCTGCTGATTACTATCGAATATCCGGAGCCCGAAAAATGGTATTCGGGACAGCGCTACCTCACATGGTAACAAAGTGCTTTCCATTTTTAAATGAACAGGAGATTTCTTATCTTACTCAAACATCTTTTGCAGCACTACATTTTAAAGAATATCATTGCCAGTAATAAAAAGATGACAAAGCAACTGGTAAAGAAATATATAAGTAAGTACGAGCCAACACATGCATTATACACAATCATATCCATATATGGATTTCAATGACAATTTTTTTTGCGATGTTGTATTTTAGTGTTGCCTCTGTGTTTAGTGTCCTGTCTGTAACTTTGTGTGATAGTGTTACCAAGAGTCACCAATTAATGACTAACCTAACGAATATGTCAAAGCAAAAAAAGTAATAGAAGGGCAAAGATTAAAACATCCTAACATCTGGGAATTTGTACAACACCTGGGAACAATTTCGCTTTTGACAAGTAGATTGGAACCTCACCGACAACCTTACACTTCCCTTTAGGTTCACCTAGGAGTTAAGTGATTGCACACGGAAGGGAGAGAGTCAACCTTCTTCAGGGAGTCGCTTCACGAGGCCGACCGGATCGCCTGGGCGCGGAGGGTGCGGACCGCATGTTGCTACTTTGAGGACCGAGACCAGAGAGAGACGACACACACTTACAAAGGAGTGTCTTGTTCGTCGAGGCGTGGCGGCAGCGAGTGAAGACCTTTGAGGTCGGAAACCTTTGAGTCAAGCCCGGAGTGGATGGGCTCCTCTAGGTCCACTTGCAGAAGTCCGAAGCAGAAATAAAGACGTTACATCCCTACGGTGTGTAACATTCTCTGCCTGTCAAATGATTGTGTTCTACGTGTACAAACAGCAGAGCAAAGTAGGCCGTTTTAAATGTCTAATTATCTAATAGGAGTCCAACGGCTAAATGGTAAACCTTAAGCTTACGGGTGTAAAACGGTTTATCCGCGTGAAATGAAAAGTGAATTTCCCAGGGTACAGTACAGTTGGGCATGGGCCTTGGTTTACCTTGGTTAGGCACCTCGGCAATGCAGGCCGCCTCGGCAATGCAATTTCGGGGGCGACTACCAGGTTTTAACTGGTTAGGTGCCTGAAGGAGTGTGTGTGTGGAGTCACGTCCGTCGAGACGACTAGAGAGGAGGGACCGACGTCCGACTATTGTCTGTCAACCCTATGCGCCGCTTAAGAGAGACGTCTGGGGTAAGAGTGTCGCAACATAGTTTGTAGAAAAGAATGAGTATATAGGTCTGTGTGACAGAAAATGAAGCCGACACTCAAACACACCCGAGTTCCTTACTCAACCGAACACAAGCGACACACAGCGATTTTGTTCCTTTTGTTTGGATGTGACTCGAGTCGCCGCTAAGTGTTTGTAGGGCTGGTTAGTCTCGTGTGATACGAGGTTGTCCCTCCCACCCCCGACCTCGATGGTTACTTCGGCAATTTCCGTCTCTCACTTAAAGTCACTCTTATGTGCATCAAACTGTCACTCAAACCTTTTAACGTGGTTATATTGGGTAGATTAAGGTCATCTGGGAGTTTGGTTACCTTAATACTAGTTCACCTTTCCCGGTACTGTACCTGGAAATTCTAAGTTAACAGGACGGTAGAATGAGTTATCAGTCAAGGAGGGAATGGACGTAGTAACACTATTTATTTTGGGTCGAAAATTTTTTTAGAAAAATAGATTAGAGTTTTTTCTGTTTTGTTCAGGGTTACACTGGTTAGTGTGAAAAAAATAAATTCGGTGGTTTTTATTATGTCTGTACTCATAAATAATTATTATTCTTGTTTTTGTTTCCCCTTTTATTGGTTTTCGGTATTAACCTAATTGAAAAAAAATTAAAAATGAAATTTGTAGTGGTTTATCTTTACGTTTTTTTCCTTTTAATAAACAAAGTACTGGAGAGTTTGTAATCTTTCTTGATTTGTAAATTCCACATTAATGCCAAGTCAGAATAGGGTACAGAGGTATAAGAAATATGTCTGTATAACTCGGTCCACTCCTCTTCGCTTCTGGGGCTAGTAGAAGGGACCAAAGGCTCAACCCGCGCTACAAGGGCCACTAGAAGTCACCTGTCATTAAGTCATTCAACGAAATTGAAAAATCAAGACCCTAAAAAAAAATCGGTTACAAACCAACAAACACAGTAACGACGACACACCCGACTAGGACACACCAAAGGAGTCTCACTCTCAAGGGGTACCTCTGCTTTGAGTCACCCGTAGGGTCCACAGCAGACACCCCCTTCTCATTTCTTGAGAGACGACTTTCCGAAAGACTCGAGGGGTTCTTGTTCTCGAGTTGGCTTTTAGAGGTTTTGGGCAAAAGACATTCAGTGGGTCTGGTCGAAAGTAGTACTCCCTTTGTGATTTATAAGTAGATTTGTAGCCAGTCTCTTTTTTTTTTGCTACGACAAATCTTTGGTGTACTACTTAAATTTATGAAATTGTTACTAAATATTACTGACCTTTTCAGGGGTGTGTATTAAACCTCTTGGACTTTCAAATTCTTTGACTGTGCTAACCAAAAATCACTTCTGATAGTCTTTCTCCGTTTCACACCATGTATTGTTTGGTACGTACGTCGTATTACCTATTTTGTACCACATGTAATAACATCTGTTTAATTAACTTTAGAAGTAGAGCCCGCACAAAAGAGTATAATAATATTAACCTTCGGACTAAACTTTGTAAACTAGTGAAACATAAATTCTTTGTTTCGAACAAGTGTACGTCCGTTTTTCCGATTAACCGTGTGTTTTTACAATTTTATAAAAGTGGTACTATAAAAAAATAAATAAATCCGAAATAAGATATGTCCACATTTTTTAGAGTAAACTCTGTGTTCCCAGAGGTAAAAGTTTCTCTNCGTCTAAATGAAATGCTTTCTGACACTCTGGGTATTTGTAAATGTTGAATATGTAAATATGATATCCTCTGTTGTTTTTTTGTTTTTGTTTTTATGTTTCATGTGGAACTAAATGATGCAGGTCTCCCTTGTAAATGAGATCGATGATCTCAAGGGACCAATCTGTCTAAATAAAGGTTTGAAATGAAATGAAATGAAGATGAGTTAAAACATTTTTTTATTTATTTTAAAGTTAAATGGTAAGAATAAACTTTTCATCTGATTCCATCATTCTGTAATGTCCAATGCAATTTCTTAAAAATGTGGTTTACAACAATGTTTAGTTTTTGTTTAGTGCAACATACGACGGTAGAAGAGAGTCTGAAAAATAGAAAGAGGCTTCCATCAGCTAGGGCTGTCCCGAATACCATTTTTCGGGCTCCGGATATTCGGTAGTAATCAGCAGCGAATATTCGGATAGTCGCGCACGTTTTTATCATGTGTAACGTTACCGTTTAAACTGCGGATAAAGCAGCTTCATCATGGCAACTGGACAACAACTAAGCTAAGCTACTACTTAAGAGCATTCAGGTGACTTCTCATAGTTGTTGTGCCCAGAGTTTCTATTAGAATTGTGATCTCTCTCTCCTGTCAGATTAGACTTCACTCGCGTTTATGTCCATATCGATCAGATCTAGCTATTGAAAGCGATGTCAGGCGCCCAAGCTGAGATTGTATATATTTCCGCATTTTAACAGTGCAATTAAAAAGTATAAATAAAGTATAAGAATGTGGCAATTCGCCTTTATTGATAGCATACATTTAGGAAAGAAACAAAAAACAAATATCCGAATAACGAAATTGAAAACTGAATAGTAGGCCAACGACCGAATATTCGGATATTCAGGTACAGCCCTGCCATCAGCGAAACAACATCTATAAACCTAAGATTTAAATGTCGACACTCTTTAGAAAAACGGGTAAACCCTGAGTGGGTAAAAATGGGTCACTGCCTAAAACAGAATAAAAAAAAGTTTGTTTTCACAGTTTAACGTTGTCTTCTAAAATAAAAGTCTGCAAAGAACAAATCACTTATTGAATTCTCAAAGCTCATGCATATTCCGACTTATGATCAGACACAGA